GATGTTTTTTCACTTACTGCCTATGGCATCTGCCATTAGCCTGTATTTGTAGGCACTGATACGGTTCCTCTTCACAAATATCTCCAAATAAGCTACTTAAAAATCCTTGTGTGCCAAACTCTGCATCCAGCTTTTTGTGCCTTGCTGTGCATTACCCAGTGTGGTTAACGGGCCATGAAACATTGCACTTCTTGCCTTATTAGATCATATATTTTGGACAAGATAGAATGTGTTCAGCTAATCAACAGTTTTATTGTGTTGACCTTGTGGATGGACAACCCCCTGCCCTTGATCTACCAGTTATTTTTTGTCCTAACTCCAAGGCACAGAGAGCAGCAAACCCATTTATATAGGGTGTAGAGAATTAATGATACAACATGAAGTGATTTAAGAGACGAGTCAGTATTTCCAAGTAGATGTTGCAGCTGGTCAAGTCACTTTCTGAAAACACTGATGCCAGCAGGGAGTTCCTAGGAAACACCACCTTTTCTCAGTCAGGGTGTTCCCTTTCTCAAAAATACCAACACTTAATGCAATTGAAGCACTTGGGTCTGTGTTAGCCAGAAACAAGAGAGACTGTCCTTTTTGGACTGCACTGTCCTACCAAGAACCAACTGCAAGAGGCCAGTGAACCAGCTAAGAGACTTACTGAGGCCATGGAGTTTTAATTTAGTTTGTCACAGATTTGCTCTGGGGACTCAGCAGGACCTAAGAGAAGCCTCTGCAGGAGTGACTTAGGCCTTCAGGTTAAATTTTGGAGATGATGTGATTTTGTCCCAGGAGTAGCCTCAAAGGTACTTGAAATGCAAGTACATGGTGCTTGCAATTTAGAGAGCAAAATCCAAAAGGATCTAGAGTAAGACACAAGAACTTGTAGAGGAAAAAAAAATAGGAAACAGAAAAAGGAATTAAGTAAAAAAATCCCTCCAACATGAATAGCATGAAGAGCCTGGCACCCTAAGCAGGACTGGAAGCTGTTTGAGACACAGAACTGGGTGGATCCTGCTGGTGCAGCAGAGCCTGGCTATATAAATGTAACAGTGCTTCAGCCCTAATTGCAAACACCCCAGAACAGTCACTTTGTGGTTTAGAGCAACTCCCACAGTGAAAGTCCATCTACACCCCACCCCAGCAGCCCTCAAACACACAGGCTTCAGAAGTCAGGATCTCAGACAGGAGGCTGGGCAGCATCCTCAGCAGAAGTTGGGCTTGTAAAAGACCCTGGACAAGCAAGCCTTGGCAGCTCCATCACCCTCCTCACCATTCACACGCCACACTGCAGCCCTGGAGCACAAATGGGACTGCCCAAAATGATGCACTTGAGTATTAACATGAACAAAGCCCAGCAGGAAACCTTGGACAATTTACATGGCAATGTGAAATGTGGTAGAAACACAGGGAGCATTAGTGATGAATCTGTGCTAGTCAGGACTAGGATAGGTGAGGTCTGAACAAGGCTGGTGGAGGATCAAATAGGCCTTTACATGAATTCAGCCTTTTCAAACAGAATCTCATTAGCATTGGCAACAGCTAACAGCCTGAGTGAGAGTGACAGACACAGCTCCAATGGCTGAAGTCACTGACATGGTGTTAGAAAAATACCACCCAGGCAACCTGTGTGTTGTGAGCAGGGTGAAGAGGCACCCAAAGCACAGCCTGGCAATCATAGAATCCCAGACTGGTTTCTTAAAGGGACCTTAAAGCTCATCCAGTTCCAACCCCCCTGCATGGGCAGGGACACCTCCCACCAGCCCAGGCTGCTCCAAGCCCCATCCAACCTGCCCTTCAACACTGCCAGGGATGGGGCAGCCAAAGCTTCTCTGGGCAGCCTGTTCCAGTGTTTCACCCACCTCACAGGGAAGAATTTCTGCCTAACATCTCTAAATAACCCATCTTTCAGCTTAAAACCATTCCCCCCCATCCATCACAACCATCCTTAGTGCAGGGATGTTCTTTGTGGCTGGATGGAGACCTTTCCAAGAATTTCTAGGAAAGCAAGAGGTGACAAGACACCAGCCAACAATCCAGCAGCTCCCCAGTGAGCAGGAGAGTTAATGATGCAAACATGACTTGGAGAGTGGGCATAATATTCCCAGCTGGTGGCTTTTGGCATGGATGTAGGGAGCCCCACGGGCAGTGACAGCTCGTGCCAGGCAGTCTGCAGGGGACCTGATAGGGATAATCACCAGACAAGAAGGTGATTAGACACAGACTGTAAATATCTGCCACAAAGGCTGGGACAGTTTGAAAGATGGCAGTATTTAAGTGTTGGAGAGATCAGGTTTAAAGCAAGAGATTAGGAAACTTTTCTTCTTCTGTTAATTTATGCCCATTACAGGCAACACAGCACCAGCCAGGCACAAAAATAAAATCTGACTGCAAGGTTATTTTAACTGAAGGTAAATCATCTTAGGCTGCAATTTTAGGATTTTCCATTTTCAGCCATTCTTCCAGCTAACATCCAATAGCTAAAAGAGGTTTAAGAGCTTCCCCCCATACACCAACCTGGAGTTTAACCATCACTTCCACTGTTCACCCCCAGATACAGGAAGGCCTTGACTTTGCAAAAAGCTTACACAGATGTGGAGCTTTAAAGCATTTGACTAAATCTGTAAGATTAGATCTTAACCTACTAGATATGACCCTCCACCAGGACAGCAAAGCTAGTTTTCCTTTGTTGAGGTCAGTGCTTCAGTTAGTTTTCCTTTGTGTCCATGAGGTCCTTCAGCCAGCAACCAAGAGCTGCTTATACTGAGAACTGGAAAAGACAACTGTGAAACAATAAAACTTAGAAACTGCTGCTACAAGTGAGTGGCAAAGCTGATTTCAAGTTGTCTAGCTCATAACTTGGTAATGCCTGTTTAACATCAGAGTTGTTACCAGGGCAGTCCCACACTAGGCACGTCTCTTGCCACACTTGAAAATGGGTTTTCAAGGCTTATTATAATTTAAACTTGTGTCTTAATCACCAAGTGTGTGTTTATGTAAAAATTAGGGTGTCCTGGCAGCACCTCAGGTCCCCAACACTAGACACAGCAATAAAGCCAGCTAAGGTAGGAGTTGCAAAGCTAAAAAGGCAGGGTGGAGATGTGTGCAAGCACAGCTGAGGGGACTTTTCCTCCCTGGTCTAGAAGCACGTGGCTCTAACTTTCAGCACCTCCGCGACCAAGAAAGCAGCACAACATCTGGCAAAGCTACAGCTGTTCTCTCCTTCCACAGGGGGGGAAAAAAAACACCCTCAAAACCAAACAGAAAGGAATTAAAGGAGAAGGAGAGGATGTTCACTGAGCGCTCTGGCTGCAGAGGCAGAAAGAGCAAGTTGTGGAGATGGAAAGAAGAGGAGGAGGGGAGGTGTAGCCAGGCAAACCCCAAATCCCCCAGTTGCAAGGGTCAGCCCAAGCTCAAATATCCCAAGGTGGGCACCAAAAAGATGAGGAGCTGAAACAAAGTCTGCAGAGAGCTTAATCAGGGAAAAGAGAGGTCATCTTGGCCCTCAGGGAAAACCAAAACACAGGTAACAGGATTTCCACCCCCACTTACCATCCCACTCTCAGCTGGACCTCAGCCACCCCCAGTTTGCCCTCTCATTGTAGGAAAAACTACTTTGGGGTATGCTCAGTTCTTCATTTCTGTCACATATAAGTGAAGCACCTCACCTCAGACCTCACCCTCCATCCAGGCACATCTCCAGCTCGACCCAAACTATTGTAGGAAAAACTACTTTGGGATATGTTCAGTTCTTCATTTCTGTCACATGTAAGTGTTTGAAGCACCTCACCTCAGACCTCACCCCCCATCCAGGCACATCTCCAGCTCGACCCAAACAGACCTCCCCTTTAACCAGGGAGAAAGAAAACACTGAAAAGCTCCTTCTTCCCCCACCTACCTGAGGATTTCTGCAGCTTTTACCCCCAATCTGCAGATTCACTATAAACAAAGATGTTGACCATGAGAAATGAAGCCTCCCCCACAGAGGCAAAGCATCAACACCTGTTAATTAATTAGCACCTGTTAATTAATTAGCATAAGTCCCAGGTGCTTGATTAAGCTGCTTGCTCTGCCTGCCCCAGGGTTTCAGTGTGCTGATATGGATCTCCAGCTTTCTCTTAGCAAGCCCAGAGCCAAAGTCCCAGTGCAAGTCGCTGTGCAGAAACGCAGAGCTAAGCAAACATTCCCAAAGTTTAAAGTCAGCAGGCAGGGAAGCCCCCAGAGGAGGGTTTGCAGTAACCCCAGGGGGGAGACCCGCGCCCTGCAGCGCTGCTCCTTGTGTTCACACCAGAGAATCTCCTTTCCCCTCTCCCATCAAATCTGCACCGTCAGCTGCTGCCTGACGGCCAGGACAGGGTCTGGGCCCTCCAGAAGAAACCCTAGATGTGCTGTGCAGACCCCAGCCCCTTTTCCTAGGCTGTTTCCCTGTCTGGAGCACTGACACCGCAGGGATGAGGCTCCAAAACACCTTCCAAACCGCCCCCCC